AATGAAGAGAGAAAAATTAAATAATGAACGTGCCAACAAATTGGTGATTTGGCAGAGATATTTGTATGATAATTGCTTGCAAACTAACCGCTCGCCACAACTTTACATCTTCGGCGCGAAGCGGGAAATCCGAGAACATAATTTTAAACAATTAGATTCCTCTAGTAATTTGAATAAAGCCGTAAGAGGACGAACACTGGCAGATGTCAACACTTACTGACCATCTATCATAAGTTTGATCCGACCAAAATGTTCACAATCGTCTTAAGACATGCTAACGCCCGTTTCCTACGTTTCGCAGAGGCAATCGCGATCCGCCGCATCAGACCCGCAATCTGTGTGCAGAAACAGTTGTTCGTAAGCCTACGGCTGCCCTGGGCGTAGGGGTGTCACGGTTGCCCCTACCTTGTTCTAACTTGTTCCGGTCTCACCTTACCTGTCGTCTTATATATTTTCATGATATTGTGTTGGCACTGAAGGGACAATAAGAAATGTTGACATATGCCCGTGTTCGCCTCCTTACGGCTTTATTCAACATAATTTTATACATGAAATCTTCTTTATACTTCCAAATAAGAACATCTGGAGACGAAGGTGGTGGGATGATGCTATTAGGACGACCTACCAGTGCTGGAGCCGGTTCGGTGTGTCCGAATATCAAGACAGTCACAGGTGTATGACTGCGGATGATCCGGATCTGTGGACCCCAAATCTTATGGCGTGCTTGTGAGTAAAAGGCGACAAAATGGGGGCTTGCGCAACTTACCACTGAACTGTGGGTTGACAGGTGGTCGCCATGAGTAAAAGCGAGATGTTTTGAGCGTCGCTCCATTGAGAGCGCTAATACCGAAATACGACTGCGGCAATTTTGTTACAAGTTGAGTATGCACTGCTTTGTTACAGCAGGCGTCACTTACTATTAGACTATTATTGAGCTGATGTAAGTAGAAAGTGATAAGGCGACAGAATTTCGTAACCATGCACTTGCTATCCGGACACAGTGCCGTCGAATGCCCGAGCTTTGGTGGGTCAGTGGGGCTGCACCAGTGCCAAACCAACCATAAGATGGCGGATGGGGTGTCGTATTACCGTGTTCGCAGCCCCACCCCCCCATACTGGTGCTGTTCACAAGGCATACCTGGTAGTCCACTTACGCCCACTGAACACTCCATCCAGGCGCACCACGTGTTTTGACAACATTGTGTCCCAAAGCTTTCGATTAGGCGCCGTTGCTGAATGGAGGCTAGAACGCGTCTCCACCATATAACACGAACTCGTACACCAACCGTCATTGGCTGATTTGTGCTAACTCAATTCCAAAGACTCTGCGAGCGCATAGTACGGCGTAAAGATACCGGATGCAATTCTAATGTCTTAAAGACATTCCATTGGCTTGTGGAGGCAAATCAAAGTCTTATGAAACAACTCAATTGCACTATGGATGCAATCAATCGGGAAAAGGTGTAAAAAAACAAGAAAATATTGTTTTGTTTCAATTTCGCGGATCAATATGTATACGAATGCGGACGTAATAACATCTAACCATGCATCTTCCGCCCCCATCTCTGCCCTGTCTTTCCATATTGTTTAATTCTACAATTCATATTCTTTCGTATATTCAAAGATTTATAACTTAGATGGAAGAAAGCACTGCAGTCATTCCTTTCTAAATGGTCAAATCGCTTTATCGTTGGTATATATATATATATATATATATATATATATATTATTACTTCCGGTGTGTCAAAAATAGGACTTCATTTTTCCATTCATTCTTGTTATACACATGCCAGAATGACATGTACTGTTACTTTTAGCATCTGCACTTGGCGTTTCGTCGCCGCTATGTAATTTATGATGGATCACACAGTACGCCAGTAGGCACCAATCGAACTCCTCCAAGGGATCACTAGATAACTGTTTTTATTATTGTTCATTTTATTTTATTATTCCTTCATCGTTGGCTATGACTTGGCCTATCCACTGAAGTGACAGTGAAGGCGCTATAGATGATCAGTGTGTCCACGCAAGGTGAACTGCCTGCGAACCCATTGGCGTTAAATAAGTGCTATACTCAGAAGAGTCAAATGGGCCACCATAATTGCACATAAAATGGCCGAAAAATGTCAAAGCAGTGATGACCCACCGGAACGTAGTCACATTGGGCTGAACTACCTATCCTAATCGATTATGAAAACGGCCAGAGATAAGAATGAAAACGGTAATGGCGCGCAGGCCTTTAAGCCACACCGGTACATTGCCAGATGGGAGTAGAAGCGCGGGTAAAACCCTGAGGGGGACTACGCCGCATGGAAACAGGTCCCCAGGAGACGATTCTAAGAACAGCAGTATTACTTTAATTGAACCAGACTGTTTTTTCTCTTTAAAATCTGCTACAGTCTTTTCACTATTTTGATGCATATGTTCCCTTCTGTGGTTATGATTGTGTAACCTAATTGTGAAACCCTGATCTGCCAGAAAGGGCATGTCTCGTAAAACCGAGAATATACATTAGCATTAACTAATGAAGCGAATCCTGACACGGCCATACAGTCACGTCCTTTTGGTGGAGGACTTCAACCTGCACGAAATCGAAATCCCAGCTTCGCTCAGCGAACAATTCAAAGTGGACCTGCAAGACGTAATCGCCGATATACCGCTATACAACCACATCACTGCTCCCACGAGATTCAGACCTGGCGACGAACCATTTTTCTTAAACCTTGTGTTCATAAGCTAGGAACTAATGATTGATGCAGTAAACATAAGTGCACCGCTTGGTCGTAGCGATCACGCGACGCTGCTCTTTCGCTACCTCTGCTACGCGGAATACATCTATGGAAACAGCGAGGAAGTTCAGGTCGCTACCCATTACGGTACACTGTCTGACCTCGTTAAAGAAACCAACTGGTCTTTCCTAGCCGAGCAGCCTCCCGACGTCATATGGGAAAAATTTGTCACCCTGTTTACCGGGCTAGTGGCAAATGCGTCTGAAACTAGTCTTTCGCCTGAAGCAAATGAAGTCCTTCCTGAGAAACCGGACACGAAAATGCATAGCTCTAAGGAATTCAGCCTGGCGCGCTTATAAAGCCTGTCCGGATACGCAGGCCTGGAATGCTTACATAACTCAGCGAAATCACGATGTCAAATTCGTCCGCGAAGACAAACTCAAACATCAACAGGACTTAACGACGAAATTCACTACTAGTCCTAAGATGCTCTAAAGACACGTAAACAAGCTCCGGAGAGTGCAGTGCGAAATCCGTTCTACGTGCAGTAGATAGCCTGGCGCTCACTACACAAGATGCGGCGAACGCGCACTTTCCTAAGTGAATCGTCACCTCACACGTTCACGACAGCTCACTCCGCCCCAAGAATTAAGCCACGTATTCTTCACTTCCGCAAATGTGATGAAAACACTACTGTCCTTACGCATGGATAGCTCTCCTGGTGTGGACAACATCACGCCCGAGGCATTAAAAACAGTCGCCATGATCCTCGCGGAAGCGTCGGTCCGCTTTTTCCAACGAAGCCTATAGGGAATATTCACACATATTTCCAAGAGTGGGAAACATGCGGGACCTTCTAACTACCATCCAAACACTCTCATCCCAGTGTCATCCCAAGTTATGGAAGGAATAGTCGTAGAAGCACTCATGGGATACCTTGAGGGTTGCCACATCATAGTGCCACAGCAGCATGGATTCCGCCGAAATCGATCATGCCCCCACAAAGTTGTTACTAGCCCGAACAAGCTAGACGAAGTCAGGCGATGCCAAACAAGGAGTCGACGTCGTACACTTGGACTACTCTAAAGCATTCGACCGCCAGGACCACTGCATTCTTTTTACGAACTTAGAAGCCGTGGAATCGATAGGGCCTACCTATGGTCATCCGAAAACTAGCTCGTTTAACTCGGCGAAATGCAAAGTTCTGAGCATAAGACATCCATTTGTTCACGAATTTCGTCTGGGAGAGCAGCAGCTGCAACAAGCTATGCAGAAAAGCAACTTAGGATTAATCATGTAGGACGATGTTGGCTGCTCAAAACAGGCCGAAAAGAGCCAGTCAGCACCCTGGCATCCCACGAAGTGCGTTCGGGAAGTTTGAGCCATCAACCTTTCCACAGATTCTGAACGCCTATGTGAAGCACCACGTGGATTACGTAATCCGGGCCTAACGACATTGGCGCAAGCACGATGCCGCCGCACTCGAAGCTCCACAACGTAGAGAAACGAAATCGTCAGAGGACTATCTCACCTCCGCTACGAATGCAGACTGCAAACCCTAGACTTGTACAGCGGCGAATACCGGCGCCTGCGAGCAGACCTTACTATGGCGTACCAAATACTGGCTAACCCCAATAACGCTTGTTGCAACCTATTGCAAGTCCGGCACAAAACCAATCTCAGAGGCCACCAGCTCAAACTGACCACTCACCACAGTCGACTTGATTGCCGAAAACACTTTTTCTCCTTTCGGGTATCCAGACCGTGGAACACCCTTCCTTCTCACGTTATTTTCGCTCACACATTAACATTAAAAATCGATTGGACTATACTCTAACGAAGTCACATTACGTGATATAGTCCGTTTCCATCAAGAGACGAATTAACGCAAACAGTGTGCTCACTAGCCATCTCCGTTACGTAGCGGTGAGCAGACCAGCATGTGTTCATGCGAATAACTCAGTGAGTCACCACAAACCAGAATTTTCTATTTTTCCTGTCACTTTAAACAAGTATTTTATAATCCCCACTTCGTACATCCCAAGGGCTTGTCAAGCAATCGCTTTCTCACCCGTTATAAATCATCGTTCACCGCCTCTTTTATGCTTGGATGATCGCAAACACGCTCTGGGTGAAATGTCAGATAGGTTAAGCGATGCTCGTCTCCAACTTTTATCCAAGTGACAAAAGGAAAAACGCCTTTGACAGCAGTAGCGCATAAAAGTATTACTCGCGATAACTTTTTTAGAACAACAGAAACTTTCCACTTACCTCAAATTGATCGAAAATTTGTCGATGGTGGTAATAAGCGTGTGAAAAAATTCGGTAGACACGACGGCAAACGGAATCCAGTCGGTTAATTGAGGTCGATTTAATACTCACTCTGATCAGATGACACATGTATAAATCGGGCACATAAAAACAGAAGTACATACCTGCTAGGAAAATATTTGCTGCTGTTCAACAAGCAGGCTGCGCCGTCCAGCGTATGCCGAGTGTAATCCACTGCCGGACACTGAAAAGTATGAAGTTCATTGAGTGAAGAGCATGCCAAGTACTACGTGTTTACTATCGAACAACGTGCAATCAACAAAGAAATGGAGGAGGAGAAGAAGAAAGCATCAGCAGCACGCTGGTACGCAGTGCCGACGCTTCGCTGCAGCGCAACCACTATCGGTTGCACGTGGGCAAAGGAAGGTTGCCCGGTCCCGTAGGCCGGCTCGAACCTGCGTCCTAGGATTACAAGGCAGGCATGTAATCCTCAAGGACACGGGTCGACTAGAGAAATGGGGACGCATATTGGTGGAGTGGTGGAAGATGACTTTTCGTTTTTACCTGATGTCGTTAATCAGATAGACGAATAAACAGGTACGTGAAGACACGAGACAATACAGGTACCGCTCAAACGCAAAGTTGAGGTTTAAGGTTAATTGGCTTAGCAAAGGAATCATTGCGATGGACACAAGTTGTGGGTGTCGTTGAGAGAGTGGGGAGGTCATATACAATCACACGAACATCTAGAGAACAGAGGGTGCGTAACGATCCACCTTAGCTTGTTCAACCTATCTTAAACACCGATGTGTAACAGACAGAGTGGTCAGATCTTACGCAGCCATGCCAAAATCGGGCAAGACGAAAAAGATAAGAAAGGAGGAACAAGATAGAAAGATGAAGCCACTAGGCGGAAAGCAAGAGGGACAAGAACGCCACCGGATCTTTGGCACTATCCACGATGTTATGATCACAGTAAAATATGATTACCGTCTGCTCGGGCTGTTTGCGATAATGTGCTACTGGCTGGGTTCGAGAACCTCAAAATTGTGTGTGTTTAGGACCTTCTCTCCTCCCATTTATCATTGGTAAGACAGTTTTGGTTGAATTACAGCGAAGCAGTAATGTGCTGTTAATGTTGTTGACTTCAAGGTAAACCGCTGCTCAAAATGAGATTGGGTGTCGCAATCCATTCACACAATGGGTTCACAAACAATATTCTCTTCGGTGGCAACTAGCTGGCCACAATCTCCTCAGTAAAAGTAAGAATGTGTCTGTAAAGACTCAAAGTTCTATTTAAAGCTTGTGAGGTACTGCTGAATGCATCGAAATGCCCCGATGTTCTCTTCTAATTACACAAAGAGAACAACTACCGTCAATTTATCACAGTTTACTTTCAGCCTCAAATCAATGGGGAATTTTTGCGCTTATCTACGCCACTGAAGTATCTGTGAGTCACGCCGTGTCACGATCCGCCGTGAGAATAGCATATGAGTCGAATAGCTACTGCGTGTTATTTCTCACTCGAGATCATCCATCGATTCCCGCCACTCGGTCACTCGGCTTATCACTACGCATTCGACCATCATTGGAAACACTTCCCTCGCATGGTAATTCTGGATCCACCGAGCAAGCAACTTAAGGTAACCGCTACATCACCGGAACATGTGTTGCAATAAGCGGTGCCTCAAAGGTAACCTTTGTTACCATTATAGTTTACTCATCCTAATTCCTGTAAAAAGACAGAGAGAATACGCACTGATGCCAGTCACCTACTTCATAGTGTAATGCATGAATGCGCATCTATTTATTACAAGAAAATACGAAACAATATATGTCCTGACATTGCCAGAGATTATCGGCCAGCCCTAGCTTAGTGCGACTTTTACTGCAACAAAATTTTGTTATTTAATAACGAACTGGTGAATTTAGCCAGTAATCTTGTTTCCTGTCCATGATTTTTATACTGCACCTTTCAATGGCATGTACTTGTGTCAAGCTTACATTGTCATAAATATTGAAGGTGTTTGCGTTTGGTACAGCAGAGCACACATTCGTCCCGTATCGACCCGAATTACCAAAGAAGTAAGGTCGGTCAGGCAGTGGCGTAGCAACCACTTTTGCCGCCTCGGGTGGTGGATAAATGTTCTCCCTAACTGAGGGCAGAATAGGCGCGCGAAGGCCACACAATCAGCTGATGGTAAAGTGAACATTAGTTTTCGATGAAATGGATTATCGTTTGGGACATGGAGGTAAATGTGGTGAAAGTGACCACAATGGGACAAGTAAGCTGATCGCTCGGAAGGACGTTAGCACAGATGTGACATGGTGCAAATGTGTTGTTGGTCATACAGAGTAACATTACAATATGCAATCATCGTTTTGTGTGGACATTTTCCCCTTATATTTTGTATCGAACAATCAACGGTGCTGAAAATGCCGCTCCCGCTCCCCCTTAGCGGTCAGGACGCCGTCTCACTAGTGCCACGATAGCCAGCGGTATTTGGCCATGGATCGTTAGCAAAGTGTAGACAACGATATCCGTTAGGTTTGCCTAGGAAATCTAGGTATTACATTAGACCCTACTTCACACGAACACATCACACGTTTCCATCACAGTGATTCAACAGTATGTAACAACACAAAACATTAATCTGCCACTACGTCGAAATTTTGCCACTTCTACATGACGAGTGCCAGCGAATAGGACAGAATTGATAGAATGCAGTGTTGTAAGCACGCAACACCAAACGTTAACGCACGTAAAGTAAAACACTTTTTGCAGGCCTCTGCTATTCAAAGTCTTTCCGTATGCCATCACACTTTATTGTAAAACAGTAACAGTAAGTGTTCAGCGTTTAGATGCAGGGACGGTTCACGTTCTGAATGATATTGTATGTCAACAGGAACCTAATTATTGACTAACCTCCTTGGGTGTCTTATGTGCGGCACACAAGAATATCCATTGCTCAGTGGCCATCATCTGTGGGCACGTTTGTGGTGTGCAGTGCTCCTGCAGGCACACAGCAAGACCGTTTAACTCCATACAAAACTGTCGCAAATGTTCATATTTCCACACCATTCCATCCTGACCCTCTGGTGCTGTCAAAATATCATCGATCTTGGTTCGATCACGCCTAATTAGCTGCTGTATGTACTGAAGAGCATAAGTTCGATGACTTGTGAACTGAAGTTACTTGTTGCGCAGCAAGAGTGCTTTCCATTTCTTCAAAAGGTTCATCTGGCCAATTACACCATTCCTGGGGGTTATGGAAGGAAACCAAAATGGGTTACTTCAGCCTTTGTGCCAGGCCGATTGCGTCTTAAAATGGGTTTCGCAACTGTCATCGGTAGATAGCTAGAAGTGAAAAAACAACATAGTTAAGCTGAAAATGCACGATCCGAACATAATTCACACACAAACGAAACACGAGCGTAAGTGCGTAGGCCATCAGAATAACGCTGGGTACATGCATTACGGTGCAAACCGAAGGTTCTTTCCAAACTAGAGGTGAAGAAAAAATGCTGAGTTATCGTGGTTAGGTTACCATATTCGCGCCTTCGTTCTCACCTAACGTTCACGTCTAAAATGAACAATAATTGTTTACGTAAAAACTTGCTCTTAAATGGAGCACACTGTCACCAAGAACCGAAGAAGTGCATCAATTTAGGATGACAGGTCGATTTGAAGCTCCCTTCGAAATCTCAGTCTCGGAGCCCAATCATGAAGGAAGATTTACGTGCTATAAGCTGAGCTCAATTGGTCCATCGCGATGTGATTGGTATTTAATGTGGTGCGATGGTTTGCGGAATTTCGTGACCCATCGAGGAACACAGAGCGGCACTTCTCATGAGCAAATTAGAGAATACTTATCTGAGCGGAGTCATTACTAGCCTACCATACTACGGACGATATGTGGATGATATATTTTGCGTGACAGACAGACATTGTTGCCCAGAGACAATTTTATCCTATTTTAACTCAGCGCACCCTAATGCCAAGTTCACTCTAGAAACTGAAAGCAATGACACGATGTCCTTCCTAGACGTTCATCTTAGTAGGAGACCAGATGGATCAGTCCAACGGAGGGTACATAGAAAAGCAACGTGGAACGGACAACATGTACATTTTGTCAGTTTTGTCCCAATAAATCAGAAACGCAACTTGATTAGATGTCTAACCGAAAGGGCCAGAATGATTTGTAGTGAGGACACACTTGCGGACGAGCTCAGTTTCTTAAGTGGCGTTTTCGAGAGAAACGGCTATCCAGAAAAATTTGTTCGGAAATATATGGAATGCAGAGAAACGAGAGCTAAACCAGCTTCGGTAGAAAAGAAACCGGTTTATTTGTCGTTGCCGTTCAAGGGGGATGGTATAGCGCAGGCAACATCTAGAAGATTATCCGACGCTATGAGCCATACGTACTACGCAGCGAGCTTGCGGCTAAGTTTTACTTCAACACCAATCGTGAGGCCCCAACTCAAAGACAGACTTCCTTGGTCATGTACTTCTTATTGTGTATATTCCTTCTCTTGTTCATGTCGAGCAAGATACATCGGAAGAACTACTAGGAGGCTGTCTGAGAGAATACGCGAGCATTGTCCAGCTAACCTACGCAATGGTGGGAGAAAAACTGTGATGAGTGCCGTGTTGGCACACTTGGTTGATTCTAATCACCAAATCGACACCCGCCAATCTTTCCAACCCATTTACCGTGTACCTGGACGTCTTTCACGTGCGGTAAAATGTCGCTAGCAACAGCTGAGGCAATTGCTATCCGCCACCAGAACCCAGACTTATGTGCTCAAAAACGATTCGTTCAGATTCTGTGTTTGCCCTGGCCCTCAATCACAACGACTCGTTGAGGGACATGCCGCCGATAGTCCATCGATCACTTCTGATCCGTTTTCCAATGACCTTGAAGTTTGAACTCTACCATTATCTGCTGTTTTATGTTAATCTTATTCCTATCAGTTGTAGTGTTTTAGCCTAACGAGAGCCACCGAAAACGAGCTTGTTCGCTAACTTGTCGTTCTGACTTCTCCGATTAACGTAAGCCGTATGCTTAAGGATCGCAAGCCTGTCTTGTAATCCGAGAGCGCGGGTTCGAGACTGCGCAAGAGAACAGGCAACGCTCGCAGTATTCTTAGCACACGTGAGACTGACGGTGGTCGCGCGGCGTCGGTACTGCGTACCGGCATACTGCAGATGCTTATACCAGACTTATCGGACTATTTAGTCCCAACATAATTTTCGGAGGCTTAGGATAGTTTGATGGTCTTTTTCCTTCAAAACATATCCATTGCCATCATCATCGTTATCAACAACAGCAGTACATCAGCCGGCTGAACTGATACTTCGCTGCCATACAACCATGATAATCCATGGAATAAAGAATAATAAGACAGAGAGAATGGGGACTTACCGGAAAACATTAATGCACCAAACAAACATTCAGAGTCAAGGCGCCTACATCTAGTGTAGACAACATACCGTCACAAACATCCGGCTATCGTGCAGCATCGGCGAGACAGCTTCCTTGCCGCTTTCACTGCCCCGCGTCATAATCAGCCATTACCTCGCAGATAACTCACCACCAAACACACCGTAAGCAGACAGTCCGATTAGGAGACGGCAGCAGACGCGCCACTTGTGTCGGTTGCAAGGCATGTCCTGTAACGTCTCGAGCCAAGCACAAGGCGAATCACTTGGATTCCAGCCCGGAAGACGAGACGGACCAACGGCACCCAGTTTGGTCGTAAGTGACTTCATTTCACGCTGCCAAGTCAACTTCTGTCCACCTCGAGCCTTGCGCCAACCTACACCTGGCAGACTAAACAAGTCCCTCCTAGGTAAGCGGTCACCAGGCATAAGTAGCACGTCTCCAAGCCAACGCAACTTATTCAGTACTATCTGTTATGCTAGGGAGCTAACATGATTATCACTACCTAGTACTCGCCTACGCACATCATCGTTGCGGACACGCTGGTGCCATCCGACATCAGCAATGCTTCGCAGACAACGATGATCAAAGACCTGAAGGCGCTTTAGATCTTCAGACCGAAGGGGCCATGTTTCACCACCATACAGCAGGACGCCCTTACTGTGGTCTTGTATATACGGTCTTTCAGACAGAAGGAAAGTCCGTTCTGTCGACAAAGATGCTGCAGGTTAAAGAAGGCAATTCTGGCATTTGCAATGCGTGATCTGACTTCAGTTTCTTTGCGCGAATGGTTGCTGATGCAGCTTAAAAGGAAAGTGCATTGATCAACTACCCCTAGTTCCTCGTTATTAAGGGTCAAGGAGTCATAAAGTGGCTGGTGTTCCTGCAGCAACACCTTGCACATTGAAGGTGCGAAGCGCATAATAAATAATGGGACCAATCTAGGCAGGCTATTCAGGGTTGATTAAGCCGCCGCAACATCGTGGAAAAGCAAGACGATATCGTTCGCATAATCAAGATCAATTAATCTTTTACCAGGCAGGACCTACACGCCTACATGGTGAGATTACTCAAGCGGACATTCTATGATAGAGTCCACGACGAGAATGAACAAAAACGAGGAAATCGGATAATGCTGACGAACGTCATTTGTGGTCGGAAAGGTAACCTATAGGTCACCGCAGACCCCGACGCGGCCTGTAGTGTTCCAGTATAGAACACGTAGGCTGTTCACATATTCCGTAGGAACACCTTTCCGCGCAAGTATTTCGAACAAAATGGGTCGATCGACCATATATATATATATATATATATATATATAATATATATATATATATATATATATATATATATATATATATATTTATATAGTTGGCGGCATCCGGTATCGGATTTGCCTGTCACTGTGGCCAGCTACAGGATGCCTGCGCCTACAGAAGGATCATGGATAGCTTGCGCTGCACCACCCACAGCTCCAATCACACCCCATATCCAGTGTAAACCCGAAGGAATAAGACCGGGAGGCATGTGGATGGGAGCCAGGTTTCATCAACAGAGCCGGCCCACACTCCTTCACAGGCAAACACAAGCACGCTGTATTTGTGGAATCAAGTGCACACAAAGCGGTGGCTGGACCGTAGTCCGCTCCACACTGAGTGCATGGAACCACTCTTCGAGCCTAGCACGACCACAAGGACCGTGCACCCCGTCCCCTCCAGCAACGACCAACTGTCTCCTGGAGCCAGATGGACGAGGTAGTGGGTAATAGACAGGTAGGCACCTTGTCCACATGCACATCAACCGCAGCCACACCTGGGATGTCAAACCACAGCCAATCATTCGAAATGCCGATATTGAATAAAGTAAGCGCATATGACGACATAAATACTCGCCAAATGAGCATGTGGAAGAAATTGGTTAAAGGTGAATACGCGATAAGTACAAAATGCCCGAAAGTTATTTAGAAATTACCACGCGATAAGATTACGCAAGTTTACCACAATTTGCATGAGCGACGTGTGCAAGTTGGGGGAAGATTATCAAGTACGCAGAACAAACCAAGTACAATGTAATGAATTTTATCCACATTAAAAAGACCTAGTTTAAGTGTAAGTTGGTTTAGCCCAACTGCGGTGAAGAAGCATCATGAATGCAACATCAGCCTCAGCATAGGGCACACATGGTTTAGCCCAACAACAATAACAAAAGCTTTTTGTCCAGTCTACCACTCACAGCTTTTGAAATATTGTTCAGTTTGGTTTTTTAGGGGATATAGGAAGGAGGGACACTGCAACACACCGATGCACACGTCCGCCACTGACATCGATCTAAAGCCATGGCTTCCAAGGTCTTCAACCAGCAAGTATCCGCATCTCTCGGACCCCAACCAGGTAGTCGACAACAACCGGCCGAGGCCAACTGTTTCGTCAGTTTTTCATGTGGCTTCCCCAAGTTGCAGGCTGTCCACCAGACCGTCTCTTCCAGTCCTATCCAGCAACCGCAAACAACGCACGACGCAGGTAACGCTGGACAGGCATGCGCAATACGTGTCCCAGCCACCGCAGTTGATGTGGTGAGACGAGCTCCTCGAGCGAGTGGCTTCCACGTCCCAAGACACGCTAACTTCCACATTGCTTACGTGGTGCTGCCACCACACACGGGCAATGGACCGCAGACAGCGATGCTCGAAGACGGATAGCCTGCGCAAGTCATCTTTACGAATGGGCCAGGTCTCGCATCCGTACAACAGTACAGCACGAACAGTTGCACAATAGACCCGCCCTTTGATGGAGAGACGAATGTCGTGGCGACGCCACAAATGCCTCAGCCTAGAAAAAGCGAGGCGTGCTCTCGAGATACGCATCGAAATCTCGTCTCCAATAGCCCCGCCAGCAGTGATGCAACTTCCCAAGTA